ATTGGCTGACGTAACCACGATATCTCCTTTTATGAGTTTCGAGGTTGGACTTACAATGTTTATATTTCGATTACTGTTGAATTTGTTCATGTAAATAATGTAGGTACAAGCAATATTCGCGATGCTATTGTTTTTGAAAACTTTGAGATTTATCGAAATGAATTTAAAGTTGAGACCACTCGCTTAATGTTTTTATTATATTTTTTGTATAATAAAATTTTAACTAATTGTAATCTGTGATTAATTTGAAGCTTTATATAAAGCTTAAAAAACCTAAAATTTAACTTTAATAAGTGTTTTATAACTGTATTTAAAATGCAAATTTATGGTATAATAAATTAATGTTTACAAATATTTTTATTCACTTTGACTATATAAAATAAATAATCTTTTTTTTTATGGGAAGTAATTTGGGTAATAGCCCTGTGGTCCTGACAAAGAATAGACCATTCCTTATTTTACCGTAGTGTCGTAAGAGGCGACTAAGCGAAGGCGAGGTTTGGGCAGCAGGGTCCCTCTTAAAACATCTCTAAAGTATTGATGCCGTTGCCAGTCTGCTGCCAAGTGTGCCAAATCTGCCAAGTGTGGCAACTACTGGCAAACCCCCCAAAGGGGGGTTCAGCAGTGGACAGTTAAGGGCTGATATGACGATGAATTTGGGTAAATTGTTTTAAAGATAGCCATAAGCTAGTTTTAAATAGCAAGAATAGAGGAACCAAACCTTTGTCTATTTATCTTGTTGTGGTGATAATGTAAAATAAAAGAGTTATTTTGACTCTAAAATGAACTATAGATGATTCTAAGTCAATATCCAAAAACATTTTAATTACATATTAGCCTGAAAAATATAACTTTTTGTTGGTTCTAACAGGACGCGAACCCGATTGCATTATTCGTGCCAAGTATAACTGCCGAGTCAGAAATATTTAGTTATATAGCAATATTTGCTGGATATCTCTATCTAATCAATATCAGGTATGCTGTATAAATTACCATTTTTAAGTAAAAAAGAAGTTCTTTATAAACAATAAATTTTCCCTTTATAATTATTAATGGTATACGATACTGTCAGTCAACTATATTAATGTTTAAAATACACAGTCATATTCTTTCCAGGTTGTTTTAGACTTAACAAAAAATTTCCTCATCCTAAGAGATATAAAGTTGACTATTCAAATAAAATAATGGGTTGGATACTACATCTGACCAACATTAAGGATTACCAACTCAACTTGTAACGACGCCTTTATTAAAATTTCATAAAGTTTTCATGCTTTCTAAAGCTTACCGCTATGGGGCTTTACAGAATATTAAGTTTGGTGGGTGAATATTCACGTTTATCGAAGCCTGTTAATCCAGAAAAAAACTTTTAATAAATTGAAAGGAATCCTTTTTAATATTATAAATGGAAAAGTGCATTTGTTTGTTTGTTACCTTTTATCACTTTAACAACTTAACCAATCACTGTGAAATTTTGTATTCATATACTTTATGGGATGGAAAAGGATATGGACTTATTCCAGTTACTAAACATATACCGGTGACAGGAACGAAGTCGCGAGTAAAAGCTAGTATTATATATATTGTTGAATATGGCAATTGCGTGTCGTGAATTATGTGGTGTCAGCATAGAATAGGCCACCCCTTTCTTCTCCGTGGGTCGTAAGAGGCAACTAAGTAAACTTAATGGTCAAGGGAGCCTAACTGCGGTTGCCAATCTGCCTGCCAAGCGTGGCTACTATTATCAAAATCCCCAAGGGAGAGACCTATGTTCAACAGTGGATAGTTAACGGCTGTTATGATGATCTGATGATGGCAAATAAAAATAAATACGGTTTTCAAAACACATTTTGGGTATAAGCAGTTAAGATCAAATTGAATAGACTATTTAAAAAAATTTACAAATACACTTTGGTAATTATTCGATCGTAGAATTTTTCAAGAACAGAAAAATATTCAATATAAACATACCATATAATCTTTAAAAATTGTTTATGAGCGAAGAAATATAGAGGAAGTATAGTATATATATGGTATTTACAAAAGTAATGTATAATTACATATTTGTAGTTATGAAATGTATATTTATTTTATTATTTATATTGTAAATGTTACGGAAAAATTAATAATATAGATCAGTATTGTATTTTACAAAAGGGGTAAAGAAAGAAAGATAATAGAGCCTTATGTAAATGCTTTAGGTCCTGATAAATGGAGAAAGTTGCGCTGCTGAGAACAGCTCTATGTTGCTCTTGATTAAATAATTAATTGTTTAATTTAGAAAAACAGCTGTAAGTTAAATACGTTGAAGTTAAAAGTTCTACACAAACTTTGCAATAAATGTTCTTCTTGGCAGATTTCCCTTAATAGACACCGCCCTTTATTAATTAAAAGAGAGCGTGTCTTACTCAGGTACTACAATTTTAAATAGTAATTAAAAAGTATATCGAGGTTAAAAAATTAAGAATGTCTTATTATTTTAACTCCATGTTATCGGTGGTGCAAGCTATGTATAATATATATAATCAACAATGTTTGTTTTTTTAGAGTTAATAATACAAAGAGATCCTTATGGTGTGGTATTTTGTTTTATTATCTTTGATAAGGGATCTCAAAAAGGGTACTCAAAATTTCAAAATGGGTTTACGGTTTAAGATATTTATATCCTCAGAAGATTTTAAAATCACTGACAGGAAAAACACAAATTAACAAATAATGTTACATGCTTTGACTAACTTAGTTCTAACTATAGATAATATAATACTGTACTGGTAGTTACAATAGAAAATAATATTTAAAGTTGAAAATAATTACTCGTCAGTGCAGTTCAGTGATTTCTTTAAGTAATTGAAATATTATATTCATATAGAGAGATTATAATTTTTGAACTAGTTAAATAAATATTTATCTACTTTAAATCTAATTATTATTAATAATTAATTCTATTTATTTTAAAAACATTTTTAAAAGCTAACTTTTACCTATTAATTTTATTCTTCTATTAATTTTATAACGTAATAAGTCGTCTTGAGGCTGTTCCCATTTTAAATAATCTTAATTATTCTATCATTACTTACTCTTAGAATTTTTCATTTTGTATACATAGGATTGACGAATTATTCGTCAATTTGTGGTGGCGGCCATTTTGAAAATGTTACGATATGTATTGTCAACAGAACTAAAGGTGTATGCAAAATTAAAAAAAAAGGTTAGGAGGAATTGGTTGTTATTTAGCTTGTAAGAGTTGGCGTGAACCAATTTAAAATATTATAAATTAAATAAAAGTTTGTAAACAAAAACCTATTTACATGTCGTTTTATGTACCAAACCATTGGCGTGTGAAATCATCACGTAAAGAAACAAATGGATCGAATTTAATAGGATCTTTACAGGTAGGCTCAATGTTCATTAAACTTGTTGATTAACATCGACCGATGAAGCAACTGAACTGTGTTCGCTTTTAACGCATTGGTAAACTCAAATAACTAACGTGACATCAACGAGAAGATTAGTCAAATAGGCCTGTAAAATTGCTGTTTTAACTTTTAATATTTAGCCATGGCGAAGTTAATGACTAAGAAATTGCTTTATTATTTATTATTATCATTGCTTTATTTCTATGAAGTGTAAAAAATAACAAATGGATAGTTCAGTATAGTGACGGTGTACAGCGTTATTTAAACCATGTCAGTTTATGTTTTTGGTGGTTTTTGGTTTTAATAAAAATAATTAAATATATGGTAAATTGGTAGTGTTCCCTGTTTTTAACACATATTCAGAGCGTTTCAGTATTATTTGTAGCTTCGCTGTAGCTTGTTTACTCGTGTTGTAAGATTATGATAGGAATTCGTTTTTGGAAACGCGTAATACACTGTTCAAGTTTGTACTAGACAGATCTGCTTGAAAAAGATTTAAATTCTCTCTAAAAAGTATATATATATATATATATATATATATATATATATATATATATATATATATATATATATATATATATATATATATATATATATATATATATATATATATAAATATATAATATGAACAATAGATCAATGGCAAACATATATGATGAAACTTTTTTTATACAACTTAGAATGAAATTAAGAAAAATCATGTTATGTATTGAAATTGAATAATTTTTGATAGTCCAAAGAATTGGCTAACCAAATCTAGGTGAAAAGGAGTTTCCGGTCATTGACCATAACACATTTGTTCACAAGTTTATAAGCAGTATTAAAAACTATATAACATTCGATGATATAACATCTAAAGTATTACTAAAAATAATAGTGGTTAGGAAGTAATAGTAGTCAAGTTTACATAACAGTTTATAAGGTATAAGTTATGTTACCAATGTGTCTAAGTATTGTGGTATTAACATGACTGTGAAAGAAAAAATACGAAATAAATATGTAGTCGTTGTAATTACAGTGAATCCAAACTTACGCAACGAAAAAGCACACGGAATGATGAAATTTCCAAGATAATTGTTCTTTTGCATTGTTCCGTAATACTTTCCTAGCATGAATGTACTGAAAGTACTTATGACGGTAATTGTAAACAGATAAATATGTCGAAGTATACTAATATATAGAATTTCGATAGTGTTATGGAAAATAGAATAGCAGATTGATTTGGTTATCCTATTAATATTATACGAGTAGTTGAGAGGATTGAAAGAAATTGGTGAAATAATATTGATGGGGCTGATATTTTGTAGAACATTTTTTGTAAGAGATGAAATTTTGAGTTATTGTCAGTGTCAGGTATTTGTTGGAATTTTGTATTATATGATATATCCTTGAGTCTTCTAAGCCTTAATGAAGTTCTTCAAACAATTTGATATGAATAATTAACACGTATGTTTATTGTCTAAAGCGGGAATATTTCGAAATTTTTAAAATCTGTACTTGAGGAAATTAACTAACAATATTAAGTATTAAGAAACCAAAGTTAGTTTTGATTTTTGATAAAATTTTTGTTTGTGGACTTTGCAGGCGCAAGCGGTGGCGGGTGGCGGGTGACGGCGCTGGCTCGACAGCGGAGCGTGGTCACGAGATGAGCGGTGCAGGTTGGCTGAGTGCGCCACCGCCGCCGCTGTCCGCTGCCGAGGCCCTCTCTTCGCTTTTGTGGCAGCCGTACGAGTGCCGCTCGCCGCCCCTCTCGCGCTCTCGCACCGATGGAGCCCTGGCGAGCGACGGTTTCGGCGCGGGGGCCGCGGCATCATGCGCGCCCCAGTCGCCAAGCGGCGGTCGTCATGCGCGCGCGTCGTATCGCGCGATTACTCTCCGCCACGAGATGCGGCTGCCAGTGCCGGCGCCCGCCCCGCTGCGTAAATCGGACTCGGTCTCTGTGCGCGTTCCGGGCGAGCCGAGCCGACAAAATGTGTCCAGTGTGAACGTCAACATAGTGCAGGTGCAGGATGCCTCATCCGGTTGTAATGTGAACAGTGCCGTGCAGACGGAGAGAGAAAGGAGTGTAGCTACCGCAGAGTGCCAGACAGAAGAGCCGACGCGGCGGCGGCGGACTCGGCGTGCGCGGGCGCCGCGAGTGCCCGAGCTGCTGGAGAGTATACCGCCGCCGCCGTACAGCACGTTGCCACCGCAGGCGCACCCGGTGCCAGTGCCCTTGCCGGTACCAGTGCATCCGCCTCCAGGGCCCATCATAGCACCACATCCGCCTACTCACCGTTTCCCTTTTCAGCCGATTCCACTCAGGTGCGCATTTGTCACAAACATATATATAAAACTCAAACAATTTAACATAATTATAATACCGTCATACTTACAGTTTATGCACCGATTGACGTTTAAACGGTTGCGCTGTGCTGTTAGTCGGTCATACCAGCATTCGCGAATTAGGAGAAAGGCGTCTCGCGCCACAGTTAATAAGATGTCTATTCGCCAACATAGAGTAACACAAACGGTATTGTGTTGTACATATTTCATAACATACAAGCACAAAGAAACATCTTCTAATAGGTTCGTAAGGTATTTTTTCAAGTGCTTCGTATTCGTTGAAGTCTTTTGTGGGCTGGTACTTAATTATTCAATTTAGACAATTATACTTGACGTTCATATAGCAGTAGTAATATTCTCATGCTGTAATGGCCCTACAACATAAATTGAGTTAGGTAACTTCCAAAACTTGAATGGATTGATTAGAGAGATACTTTTAATCGCAGACAAAGTAATAAACAATGAAAATAGGTATAAGAAAGATTAAAAATCTTCTTTCATCAGATTAAAATCATTGTTCATAGGAATTTTGTTTACGAATGATAACAAAGAAGCATGACTTTATTAGACCTAGAATTAACTGTGTTGTACTGTACTAAAGGCACTGACACTACTAGTACTAAATCACTAAGTACATAATTATTAGTAAATGCTTGTACGATTTAGGCATTTCGTCGAATAGAAATGTTCTACCGAATCAATAAAAATTTAAAATAAATTGTTATTCAACTCAAATATAGCTAATAAGTTTAAATGCAGAACACGCGACTATCAGGTTTGAATATAGAAGAAAAAAATAACAAAAGAGAAGATTTTTAACATGTCTTAACATACGTTCGCCAAAGAGATTGACATGTTTTTAGAATTACTAATAGTTTTACCTTTATGCATTATTTCAGTTGTTGTTGTCATTTGAAAATGGATAATGTTCACTATGGTATTTTGTAACAAGTTTTTTATCTTGTTTGTAATTCCGCTATGCTTTACGGCCATAATTAGGTTTTTTCTAATGTTCGTTACTCGGATCTTTGATACGTATCTACCATTGAATATCATTAATATACTTTGCAATTTGATTTAGTAATATTAATTTTATCCTCAATCCCGTAACTATCGATCAATTATATCCAGTTGTAACTGTAACTTATTGGACGATGTTTTGTTACAAGTAAATACTAAGGCTTATCTGAATTTTAAGTAACTTTTCACTTATGAATCGTTATTTCAACTGGTATAAGTCTATATACAGTACCTACTCAGCTTCTTGTTAAGGTTTTTCCAAGATACTACAGCATGAGGTTCTTTAAAAAAGGGATAAAGAGGTTAAATCTTCAGAGTCAGTAACGCGCGCGTAATGTCTCTGGTATTGTAGACGTTCATAGGTTGCGATAACCGCTTACCTTCAGGTGAGTCGTATGCTTGTTTGCTACGTCAGTTGTATACGAAGAACCTAGGCTATCTTCTATAAGGTATATTTAAATTGTATCTAATCTTTTTTTAATGTTTTTAGTCTGGATTACCTAACAGTTAAAGATTAAATTGAGATGAACAGTATCGTTATTAATTAGCTAATACACACTTTTGATATAATCGGTGGGCTATATAAAATTTGCAATGATATTTTCATAATATTCATATTTAAAAGAATAAAAGGAATATTTAATTTTAGAAATTCCATTTTGTAATTGTTATCAATAATGTTGTTTGTTTCGGTACCGCTGTCCCGTTCGTGTTTCTACAGTGAAACAGTTGTGTTTGCATGATTGTGTTTCGGTGTGAAGGGTGGGGCATGGCAGTGAATTTACGAGGTACAGAGGAATAACACCTGAGTCCTCAGCAATGGCAACGCATGAGGAGTATCATGGGCGAAACAGTATACTCTGTTATGTCCATTTCCCATCAGGTGGGCCGTCAGCTTGTTTACTATTCTAAGTTGTATAAAAAATAAAAAAAAAAATTTAACAACAAATTATTAGGCTAAATTTGTGTCTTAACGATAAAGAAAAGCAGTAAAAGCAAAAAATTATATCCGGAGAAGTTCTCCTGGGTTGCTCTTCTATAATATTATATATAATAGAAGTGTAACATATCAGATGTAATTGAAATGATTTTGGTCACGCTACAGTTACGTTGTACATCGGATGGCCTCGTTATATAAGCTGATTGTCTTACATATTTATACGGCAAGGTCGTGTAACGCAACGATGCCGCTTCATAAATAGAAAAAAATAATTAATTTGACCACCTCAGCTCCCGATGATAAAGTTGCACCTTTTTTTTATTAAAAATAATTTTAATAATGAGAAAGAAAATTAATTAAATTATGAATGAGAAGGTATTACATTTTTTTTGTATAAGATTATAAATTAGTAAGATTGAAAAAGGTAACTATTTTTTCTTATTAATAATAATCAATTACTACGGGTATTTGTTCCCGTTATTTATATATTTAGACATGTGATATTAATTTATAATCAATATTACGCATTGTATGAAAACCAATTTTAGCTTTGATATTCCTATTACTGGTAAACATTAATTAATTAATTAAATATCCCGCATTCATTGGTGGCTCTTATACATTGATTAATTTCTAAGCTCGAATTTTCTGGAAATGTCTTATATTAATGAAGAACGTTTGTACATCCCATAGCTACGTATTTTATGTTATGTATTGAATTAGAAGTTCATTATATTGAACAAAATGTGCTTGTATTATTAGTTCTTTGTAATTATACTTCAGTATTTTGAGTGTAGATAAACAGACAGTAACAATTAACGGCGAATTTATGTATTTGTATTTACAAATAGTTTTTTTTCCATATCGTGAATTCATAGGTACGAATTTTTATTATTGTTTATTATATGTTATATAATTAGGAAAACCATAATATATATAATTGAATTTAAATTCCGTAAACATGAATCGTTACGACAATTAAGACTTGGTTTATAAAATCATCAATTATATAAGTACATTGGAAATTCTGTTGATGCTGGATATATATGGAATTGGTAATTTGTTTTGGTTTTCGAAATTACCAAGGAAATACAAGAAAACAGGTTACTCGCAGGAGAAACCGCAAGCAACAGCTGATGATAATATCATGATATTAACATGAACTTTCGAGGCTTTCAATCAAACAGATAGACAGCATGGTAGGTAAGAGTGCTCTGATAGATGTCTGTTTAGTGTATTTTTTTGCTAAATACAGTTGATTTGGGATTGCACATGCTATAATGTGGTACTAGAAGAGAAACAAACTAGTTATAGAGGTTTTTTACGTGTAACTAAGTTGTACAGCCCACTGACCACTTTCCACCATGTGGTAACTAGAAACCTGTTTTAACTACAGTACTCACGGTTTACAATATTGAATTTCTTACGATCCGTTAAATTGTATGTGGGTAGTATTAAATTTATGTTTCGCTAAGGTTTGTATTTGCTAGTTATATTCATTCTTCACTAAGATTACTAAAGATTATTGGAGTGTGGGTTACATATGAAAGTAAAATCCAATGTCTTTTGATCAAACATGAAAGTTTGTTTAAGTGAGTTCGAAAAGAAGGGGGGTGGGGGGCTTTATTTTTCAACCCACTTCAAAAAGAAGCGAGGTTCGCAATTCGGTTGCGCTTTTTATATTTGTTACCTCATAACTTCATCAGTTCTAAACTGGTTTAGATTTTTTTTTATTCGAAAGGAAATACTTACAAATTGGTCTCGATGAAAGTTTATTAAAATCGGTTCAGTTGTTCAAATTTTAGACCAAAATAATTGGTTTTGCCACATTTGAAATCCGTTTTTTATGGGACACAATCTTTAATTATGTAGAAACGCACTGTCGAAACATAAGCTGTTATTTACGTAGAATTACTATCAGGTTGGTCGTATGATTATTTACTAATATTGTACTTATTTAATACTTTTCAAGTAATTAAAAGTTCATTAATTCTGTCACTAAGTGAAGTGTCGCTTTCTCTAATTTTTTATATTTTTACATGGATATATTGTATATACTATACCAATGATATTTGTTAATTTTATTATTTTTAGACAATTATTATTTATTATTTCATTCCTTCTTTCTTTTTTTGTGTATTGAAAAATTCCTTTATGATGTTTTTGTGTTATACAAATTATAACATAAAAAATATTCAACATGGTGTATTACACCGTATTGAATATTTTTATTAACAGTGCATATGAATAAATTGAATTGAAACTTACCAACTAGAAAAGTCTATTTAGAATCTATTTGCATAATATGAAGCTTTTAAGTTCTTGTTTTATTATTCTAGATTCCTTAGGAGTTATGTGACACACTGATTTTGGGATGAGTAAAACTATCTTGATACAATTCTAAAATAATTGAAATAATTATAAAAAAAAATTAATACTACATCTACTGTATCATAAAGAATTGATAATGAAATCGCTTTTCTACATGAACAGTGTTCCGCACTGCCGTGTCCTACATAAAAACAAGATCCGTGTAGGTCGATAGTAGTACGTTGTCGCAGAAGCGATTTGACCATGTGACCATATGGCTAACCATCTTGTGAGACCCTACAATAACTTTACATGTTAATATCTTTAATAAAAAATCGATTTAAATTTCAATACCTACTTATTTGTAGGTATGGGTTTTTTTCTGAAACTAAACTATGTCAGCAAACAAGCTGACGGCCAAAGTGGTAACCGTCGCCTATAGATATGAGCAGTACTATGGACATAACAGAGTATACTGTTTCGCCCATGATACCCCCATGCGTTGCCATTCCTGAGGACTCAGGTGTTGTTCCTCTGTACCCTGTAAATTCACGCCATATCCCACCCTTCAAACCGAAACACAGCCATGCAAACACAACTGCTTCACGGTAGAAATACGAATGGGACAGATTTATAGTTTTTACCAAAATAAATACGCAATCTGTCATATGTTGGGTGCCAGCGCGAATTAGTTTGGTTTATTTTGGTG